AATCAGCAAAATTCTAGAAAAAACTTTCAACTATTTTCCCTCTTACGTAAAAATGAACTCGTTACTTAATACAAAAAATCTTATTTGCTTAGCTTAATCATCAATATAATTTTTTAAAGGGTTGTTAATTCTTTACTCCATATTGAAGGAATGATATAGAAAGAGATCCGAACTAAGCCTCCTGCCAATCAATATTTTATACATCGAATTTCGAATAAAACTCTTTTTGCTTGTTCTTCCTGGAGGTTTTAGTTTGCAGCTTGTCTAGAATTAGACGGAGCTATTCAATTGTAGCACTTGTCGAACAGAAAAAAAATAATACACAGAAATATGAAACATAAGAAAGAATTGTCAAAAAGTCTTTTTGTTCCACAGCGACTGATTGATTACTCTTGTTTTTGTAAACTTTTCTGAATCATATTGCATCAAGTTTTAACTGGTCTCAACAATGAGAAGAAACTCATTTTTAAGAACTTAACTAAAACAGCGACGCAAAACTCTACAACTAACTCAAAAAAATTGAAAATCGTGACAAAGTTATAACAAAACTTGAGCTAAAATGAGCCTGCAGAAAGTGCAAAATTATAAAAATTGGTCCTCCCCTTATAACTTCCGATGTCGCTTGAAGATATGCGTTTTTAAATTTTTCAATTTTCAGCCTACTTATCGGTTCAATTTTTCAAAAGCGGTATACAATTTACTAACAATTATTAATCATAAATCTAATATTTAAGTATGTTCAAAAATTTAATATTTTAAGTTTAAGCATGTCATGGCTACTTTCTAAGAGCTCACCTTACAAATTGAGCCAAAATTTTTGAATCATCATTCATATTGCTGTTACTAAGCTTGACTACTAGCTGCGCTACTATGTTCAATTCATTTCATCTTCATGTTGAACTATTTCGAGTTGATTATTTTTGAAAAAAATAGTACAAATTGAACAATCATTTCCAAAAAAACTTGAAGCGTGAAAAAATTCTCTGCTATGTTTTTTGAAAAGGAGTCTCAAATGCATTTTTTTCTAAAGAAGCTGGCTGATAATAATTTTGAGTGCAATAGGTTGTTAGAGCAGCTTGGTTTGCTCGCACCTTAAAGAAAAGCAACATTGTTAAATGCATAGCCTTATAAGTATTAACTCATTGTAATTACTGAAGTTTATTTTTTTATAGATTTTGATCAAACTATCCCAAAACTTTATTTTTCTGGCATGAACAATCAAAAACACAGATTTTATTATTACTTTTTTAAAGCAATAAGCAACCTGTTTGAATGTCAACTCCGGCAAACATTAATTTAAGTTATTAGCATAATTTTTTATGGACCAATTTTGTTCATAGCAAATAATCAAAACTTCTCTTTATGAGGTTATTAATTATTTGGTTTCGAAGACTTATCAATTCAATCCGGGGCTGAAAACACCTTCTTGGTCTGCACGAAGTTTTTACAAGTTGTGGTAAGTTCTTGAAACCAAATTTTAATAATTTCATGGATGGTAGTTTTGATCATTTGCTTTCGGTCTATGTAAAAATGTTGCCTAGACTCGAAGTGAGTCTTGCGCAAAATCTTTCTCAAGAAGGAGCGTTTCAATGAGTAAAAACTTGATTTTTTTCTTTAAATTTGTACACAAGTGTAAGAAATTTTAAAACATCTAAAGTTAAAAAAAATTTGAAAAACTTTACTTAAGTTATTTTTTATCAGCTATTACTTGATTCGGAGAAAGTGTGTGGCTAGAGTATGCTACAGTTGTTCGTGGGCCTGTGTGGGCTCTATTTTGCCTTCCCTTTTGTGTGCAACCAGACCGATCTGGAACTAATTGTGACCAGAAGAGCCACCGACTGGATATTCATACTTCTCAAGGTCATTGGTTATGCAATGAAACTAGTTAATTTTCCATTCTTCAAAAAAAAGAACTTTTTTGTACTTTCATACTTCGTGTTTGCTCTGTCGCAGCCTTAGAAATAACTGTTTTTTATAGATAAATTACTGACTGTAAAAATTACTTCAGAAAATTATTGATTATAGTTTTTGAAACTGAACTTTTTCAGGTGCTACCGTGTGTGTTTTTGACATTCTGGGTCAAATCTCACTCGGCCGACTTGTGCAAGAAGACAAAGGGGATATTTGAGAAAGAAGAACAAGAAAAAATCAGACTCAACGCCAGCGCATTTTGTCTCTCAAGTCAGTTTTTCAATTTCTCTTTTTTTCAGGATTATATATAAATGCAAATATAAATTTGTTAATTCTAAAGAAAGCGCACAAATTGACGTAAAATGTTTTGGTAAGTTATCGATAATGAATTATCGATTTTGAATAAAAGGCCACAATTGAAGCCATCTAGTTATAAAAAATTTATTGTAAAAGCTTTTTGACTGGACTCTTTCGATACGTTTTAGCAATTTTTTAAATGCCGTTAATTTAGGTTTTGGCGACCTGTGCTTGGCCTTCAAAAACACCCTCAGCTTCCCTCTCGGAATTCTGGGCTTCAGTCTGGCTCAGATCTGCTACGTTCGCAGTTTCGGCTGGCAGAATGTCACTCGCCATCTCGGAATGTGCCTCTACTTTATTGCCTTCATAAACCTAGCCGTCATTTTTGGATTCCACTTGATCAAAGAAGACTCCATGCAGGTACTAATGAAACCTTGAGTATTTTTCTTTTCTCCTGTTGAAAAAAAATTTTAATGTGCAACAGTATATTTTCTGAATATTTGAAAACGATTTCGAAGATATTGCAAGCAATTCAAAAATGGTAGGATTACGTGATTTTTAATTTTTTTTTCACATTTAAAAAAATCAAATTTTCCTACATTTTGGCTGTTAAAAAATGAGTAATTTTTTAAAAATGTTTATTTAGCAATGATGTTTAGTTATATGTTCGTCAATGAAATAGTTTCCTTTTTAGGGTTTGGAACTGTACGTCACATCTTTTGCTGTCCTCATTTACTGCCTGTTGATCTACACCACTTTCTGGAGAAGTCTAGACATCAAAATCCACTCCACCGACACCGAGAACTCCTCCACTGACACGTTGAGATGTGTGGGCGTTGGTTTGTTCATTATTTCGGACACTATTATTGCCGTGAACAAGTTTTGTGTGACCATTCCCTACGCGTGGATTGCAATAATGGGCTACTATTATTTAGCACAGGGCTTAATTGCATACTCGGAGACGAATTCGTTCAAAAATCCAAGAAAAGAGAAAATTATTTGAAGATGAAACTACAGCCAATTGATGTTAACTGAAGTTTCAATGATATCGGAAAGTAATTAGTAGATAAATATTCATTAGTTATTACGTGCATGAATCACTTTTTGTTAGTTGTTTTAATCAATTTTATCTGAAAATATTTCATTTTCTCTGGCTAGTCTTGCTGTACCTTTATATAGTTATAGAAAAAATTGAACAAAAAGAAACTTTTCTCGAAGCAAAGATCAACTAGATGCTGCACCGAAATAGTATGTATGGACCATTGGAACCAGATCTAAACTACATTTTATTATTGGTCATAAATTAGATATTTTATCACTATAAAATATTTAATATTAACCAATCCTGATCCATCTAACTAACAACCCACTGTAAGTGCTGAAATTACTTGTAATTTCAGCACCAGAGAGATTTGAATTTAACTTAGAAATTAGTTACCTCTCCAAGAGAACTTTAGCAATCGCAATAAGCCAGTATACTCTAGATCTATTGAGCCTAGCAGAGACTAGTTAAACACCCTGAGACTAGTAGATATAAGAGTAAGATTAGGATCGGTATTAGACTAAGAAGTTGCACGAATCTATCCGGCCGAAAATAAGATAGCGTGACGAACAGACGGTGTACCCTATCCGAAATTACTCTAAGAGTTAGACCTAAGAACCCAACTCACCATCCTGTCTGGACATTAATGTCACATAAGATTGTGACTAAGCATTAACAGAAAAACTTGCTTAGTAACACAGCGGCCATTCTTCAGTGGACATGGAACTCAAAGTGAACCTTTTCATGGAACTGCATCTCACGGTAAACAGATCAAAAGCCTTTCCAGAAAAACTAAGTTTAAAAAAATGGTTAACTGAGTCTAACTATGTACACGGATGTACACTAAAGATTTTAAAAATTGATTTAAATTAAAAATTGTAGTCAAAACAAGAAAAACGTCCTTTGAGAACTCGACGACGACACCATTTTAGCAAAATGTAAGAAATTTGTATGTTTAGTTTTTTTTTCATAGACTTAGTTTTTGGAATTGTATGATTAGCATTTTTGGTCTATGGAGGTCGACCCGAAAGACCATTTTGATCAGTGACGCAGATCGACCGAAGTAGGAACAAGTAAAGCGAACAAATTTCACACTTCACAATAACCAAAAAGGTATGAACAAAAGAAAAGTGAAAGTATCTACAGCAAATTAAGCGTACGCACATGACGACAAAATACCTGAACAAATGAATTTTCAATTTACCATCGAAATCCACTAAATATGTCAAAACCATGCTGGGTTAAAAATCCAACTTATATGTGATAAACATTTAAAAGAAACTTTTGTTATAATGAATAAAAAAGAATGTTTCTAGTTTTTGCTACTGTTTCTGTCAAACTCTTCCTAATTTTTCTTCCTTTGCTGGTCTACAGTAGATGTCACTCTACTCTCAAGTCTGAAATCAATGTCGTCCTTGGTCTCCAGTAGAGAAGAGTGGGAGCCTATGCATTGTTGTTTCTAATATCTAACGGTATCGTCTGAGGAGGTCCAGGAGAGGGGATGGTCACTGTCGACCAAATGATAGTTGTCTCTACAACAAGAGAAAGTGTGTACGTCGTCGCAAAAATAAGATAAGGAAGTCTGATGTTGACCAGGTCGGTTTGTTTGAAAATAAATTGCCTTTGAGCTGGATTTCATCCAGGTTTACGACGATCGCGTCCAGAATGAACGTTTCTCAGACCTTGTTCACAAAGCGTATCTCATTGAAAAATGTTGGTGCTCTCGAACTTTTCTTTAGTTCCGACACTCTATTAGGTGTTGGCGGTGTCGTCTGTTTTTCCTCTGGTAAGATTTTTACGCACATTGGTTAATCAGATTTTGAATGGTCCTTCCCGGGTCGAGGTCGTGATTTCATGTTCAGACCGTGTGGAGCAGAATTTGGCATGTTCAGAAGATTGGGACCAGAAAATACTATGTTCAGACCGTGTGGACTGAGTGAATCCGCTTTCAGACCGTTTGCACCCAAGAAATCCGGAATCAGACCGTGTGGACCGAAGGATTCTGGTTTCAGACCGTGAGGACCAAAGGAATCCGGTTTCAGGCCATGTGGACCGAAAGTTTTCAGTTCCAGACCTTGTGGACCGAAAGAATCCGGTTTCAGATCGTGTGGACCATCAAAATCCGGTTTCAGACCGCGTGAACCAAAAGAATCAGGTTTCAGTTCATATGGACAAAAAAAGACCCTTTGGTGGTGAAAAAGTATAACCCGGTCTGAGGTGCTCGACTCATGATTCGATCGAAACGGTCAAACGATGTCCGCTTTCGAACATAAAACCACGACCTCGATCCGGGTTAGCCCTAGTCAATGTTTGCGGTTCGACGACCTGTGGGCCATCCCAAACCACTGAAATGGTCGAACAAGGTGCCGTGTACTTGTCACTTAAAATCTCCTAGGTATTGAAATCTAGAAAAACATAGGAACTTGAAGAGATCGCTGAGGAATTAGCTCGATAAGGTGTTGATGTGATGAAGGCTGCTGAGTCCTATATCTGCTCTATGTTTCTGCGAGGAGGACCGTTGGAGAGTTTTAACTCTAGCTTTCTTTATTTGGCAAAAAATTTATTTGCCTCCAATATTTTTGGCTATGCAAAAGCATTAGAAAATCAAGTGGTGGTTTTACAAAATTACGGGAAGAGCCCGGAAGAAGTTTATAGTTGAACTGCAAATTATGTTTTCTAAGTATATGTCGATTTTCAAACGTGACGGTATGATGTGGAAAAAATTTAAAACTAGTATTTATAACCAATTATATTCTTCACAAAACTATCTCTATAACATATTACTTACTAATCAATCATGATCCATAACTAACACTGACAATTATTTCTAGTGCTGAAACTACTTGTAGTTTCAGCACCAGAACAATTTGAATATAATTTAGAAGACAGTTGTTCTCGTTTGGAACAAGCTCCAGTTGCCTAACCCGCAGATATCAGTATACGATAGATCCATTATTGCGAGGAGATACAAGAGTAAGATTAGGATTGGTATTAGACTAAGAAGTTGCACGAATATATCCGGCCAAAAGTAAGATAGCGTGACGAAGAGACGGTGTACCTTATCTGAAATTACTCTTTGAATGAGCCACTCGCAGCATAAACTCATCCGGTGCGACCAGAAGTCTCGAAAAAGACCTACTAACAACATAGTTTTAGAAACATAGAATTAGAATTAGGACCAAAGTAATTGCAAAATTACAAGTTTTAGATAGCATAGACAACTGAGTAAGTATGTCTCTACGTCTCAATACATCTACTCTTATATTTCAAACGATACAGCAAAAACCAGGTCAAAAATTGAAAAGTGGACCAAGCTTCTACATCGCAACACGACGCAAAACGCAAAGAGTATATGTCTTCAGAATTGTCATTGCAGTCGATTTTCATTCTCTAACATGAAAATACACTTACTTGAAGCAATAAAATTCATTTCCAAGCAATATACTTCTTGATGTTGTATTACAAAACTATATACCTGAATAACGAATGATAAAAAAATACCCAAGTCGTTCCTTTCATCAGAACTTGCAGTAATTTTTAAAACTTTATAAAACTAAAGTATTCTGATTAAAAATACAAAAATTAGCCAGTAAATAAATTAGAGTTAGTTCTATTAGGTTTATAAAATTTCCCTGCTTTTCAAGGATTTAAAAATCCTTTCCCTTCCCTTCTTCCCATCTTCTTCACATTTGTTTCTCCATCTAAAACATAACAACCATTGTTCAAAAACTAATGTCATTTAATTTAATTACCTTAAGAAGTCATTTCTTTCTAAAATTTAAACCTTTTAAATCCTCCCAAAGTTAAACCTAAAGCTTATCAAGGCCTATCCTTGCTTTCTATTAATCTAAAATTTCCTAAAAAACTAGATCATCAAGGTTATCCTTGGATCTTTCAAATTTAATTAAGTTTAAAAAATTTAATTCCTCTAGTCTAAATCCATTTGATCATCAAGGCATCACTTGAATCAATCAGAGAAACCTTGTTCTCCCAACCTCCTAAGGTTTTTCTAACGACCTTAAACGCCGATTCAACCTCCAATCCTTATCAACGAACCAGGACGAAAAACAATTTCGAAAAACTAACCATTTCAATTAAGCTAAACAGTGATGAATGTCGGTTACTCGTCCTTCAATTGAACCACTCTTCGTAGCTCACCCAGGACCCAGGCTAAAACACCATCATAACGCTTTTTAAGATCTATAATAGTACCTTAACCTATATTAGACCTATAAAAAGACCTATAATAGTACCTATAATATTACCTATTATAGTACCTATAATGTTCCAATTTTACCTAAACCTTGTGGATCGGTTTACTAACCTCCAACCCTTGATCAAAAAATTACAACCCTGAGTAAGATTAAGTAACTTTTCTTAAAATAAACCTTAGCCAGCGAGAAAGTAAAACATCATTATAACAAAATGATATACTTTCTCTCTAACATGTCAATCTTGACAAGCTACGCCTCAAGTTAAGATAAACAAAAAACAACTGTAGGAACTAACAGTTTAGGAAATAAAAATTCTAACCCCTGACTACTGCAACCATCATTCTAAACCTTATGTCAAGAGATAACTTAGGCATTAAGAAAACTATAATAATTCACATCTGCTTAATTCAAGACGAATGATAGAATCTTGTAGTTATGCCACATAGACAACGAATAGGATATATCAGATCAAAAAGACAAACAAGAGAAAATCAATAATAGCAAAACAAAACAAAATTTAGAGACAATTTTCTGAAACACATTTGGCGATTTCGGAATCCGACACAACTACAATACAAAAACTTCAGGACCTAGGAGTCTCAATAGACAAAAATAACCCAATAAACGACCAGAAACTTTTTCTGATTGAATACTTACAAGGCCATTAGCAATAAAAGGTAAACGCAGAATAAAAAATCAAACATTCGTAAACCAGTACGAAATTATCATTAGAATCAACCAATAAGACACATTAAAAGTTACTTATTAACCGTAAAAAAAACACAAAAAATGATTCAATACGACAGAAGTTTTGACAATGTTTCTATCCTTCGTTTTGTCATTCACCCACAAAGTGATCCCGCTAGAGGACAGCTAGAAATTTGTCATAAGTCAATCGCACAATTTTTCGAGAAAGAAAATAGCTCATGTAATCAACAACTTCCCAAAGTGAAAATCTAAAGACAAAAACTTGACCACTATCTACCAGGCAAATGACTTCATATTACGGAACACTTACTATTAAATTTTTGCC